CTCCTCGACCTTTGCATGTGTAGGGAAGTTAGTTTGTTTATTGATTTTGGATGTTTAATCTATGATGGCTATGAATAATTTGCTACTTTTTTGGGAGTGACAAGGTGATGGGTATCTATTCGTGTTCAGCAGTGATATTTCTGATGGAAAGACAATTGGATTTGCATCACAGTTGTGCCTTTTGGTTAAGGCCTTGGAAATGTCCTTGGAGGCTCAATTTATGGAAGATTTTGTGTCAGGTCTGAAGAATTTTGATGCATCATTCTATGTATTAAATATTAATTACTCTTGATACGTTCATATATTGTCCAAAATTCAACTTCTGTTAATGCTAGCTTTTCAGGTGAAAATTAGTTATTTTTATACTTTATTTTTTTTCCCTCTCCAGCAGTCGAGAACTCAGGATCTGACAATTTCAAGTCTTCAGCTGTCATTCCTCCACCAACAGTTCTTGATCGTGTTTTAAAAGATCTCTTTCACCAGGGTATATAACCGCAAAAATTTCTTTTATGCTGCTAATTGTTTACAAATATTGTAAATGGGCAACAATCCTTGTTTATTTTGGCAGATAGTTGTAACTTTGCCTTTCAAAATTCTGAGCTATTTTAATACCGAACTCTTTTTCTAAGTTTAAATTTCCACTTCACATTGTTTATCTACGCCAGATGATGAAAGAAACTTGGATGAAATTAAATTTGCTGGGAACTTTGCATACGAAATGCAGGGACAGGGAAGCCATAGCTGTAGCCCACTGGATTGCATGTAAAGTATTTGCTAAATGTTCCAAGAAATTGAACTCCTTCTTTGAAGATTAAAGGGGGGTGTATTCAATTTGGACTATTCAAGACTTACTTGGATTTGAGAATTCTAGATGTATTCAATATAGACCTTTTAAGACTGAAAATCCCGAGGTATTCATTATAGATATCAATGGATTTTTAAAAAGTCTTTAAGAGTCATGGGGGATTCAAAGTGTTAATGACTTTTCTAAAATTCTCTACATACTAACTTTTATGTGGAATGGACAAGTACAAAATCTCTCAAACTGGATCTCACACCCCCAGATTTTTTGAAAACTTTCGTACATATATACATATTACACAGAGAGAGAGAGAGAGAGAGAGAGAGAGAGAGAGAGAGAGAGAGAGAGAGAATAAAATAAAATAGAAAGTACAAAATCATTCAATATGTAATTTTTCTGTTCCCTCTTTCATTCTGTGAACTATAATGCCATGATCAATTTACCTTTTTGAATGAAATAGAAGATAAATATTTTTCTGTCTTTAACATTCTCCTTTTTTTCCCTCAATGCTTCTTCCATTTTGCTGTGAAAATGATCAATTTGTGAATAAAATTCTTTTAAGATTTTAGTTAATGATAAAGATTGGTTTCCTAAACTACAATACTTAATTTTTTTTCTAGCGCATGTTTTTTCCCTTCCTTTCTTTTATTTGCTGTGTGTGTCAATTGTGAGAAAGCTATTTTTCATTTATCGTCACGAGTATTTATGCCTTTTTTGTTTTTCTTTTGTGGAGTTATATTGATATGGCTTCGCTTATTTCACTTTGAGGCCATATAGCTTGATATTTTGATGATTTTATACATTAATTAGTTCACAACAAAGAGATTGGGTTTATTATTTTGAACATCAGAGATTTCTTTTTCTTTTCTTTTCATTGTGAGTACTGGAATGCTATAAATGCTTTTTTTTTTTTTTGGTACTTCGGTTATTTGTTTATCTAATCTAAGTGTCTTATAGTTTTTATATTTTTTAAAAGTACTTTTATTGTCACGAGTAATATAATTTTGTTACTATTTGCTTCTAATGTGCTGAATCGTTTCGTCATGCAAGCAAGGTTCGAAGTAGTCACGTATCATACTGCAGAAATAAGCAGTTGAACAAATAGCTTTATATAGAAAATCTATAGAAGTCCAAGTAAATTTAGTAAATTTCTTTAAATGAAAGTCCATACAAATTTATGAAAGATTTTCATTGATCATGTAAAAATCTATGAGTAATTCTTCAAAAGCTAGTCAAAGTATATAAAAATCTTTAAAAGTCCAAATTGAATGCACCTCCCTAAATAGTTATTCCTAAAACTGAAGGCTGTGAAGCATGCATTATCTTGCCGATTTCTAAGCTCTTGAAATTTTTTTGTACTGATTCTGAATGCACTTGGGTGTTAATTATTACTGATGTTAATTTGTTTCTCATGTAGTTGCAGAAGCTCAACCATATCTCTCTGTGGGCGAACATAAGGGTTCTCGCGCTATTAAAGGCGCTCCACTTTACTCGCTTTTTGCTCAGTTCTGTTTACATGCTCTTTGGTTTGGCAATTGTAATATACATGGTAAATATGCAAGTTTATGAGTTATTTGTGTGATATTCTGAAGGAGCCAAATGAGCTGCTATAATATTGCGTGTACAGATTTTCTTTAAATGAGTTTACACTCCACTTATTACTATTTTTATTGTTCATTTCTTTAGCTATTGCTGTACTCTGGGTAGAGTTTGTTCGAGAAGTTCGTTGGTGTTGGGAAGAGTCACAACCATTACCAAGAATGCCAGCCAATGGTATAATTGACCTATCCACGTGTTTGATCAATCAGAAACTACATATGGTTAGTTTCCTTATGTTATTGTAAGACTATTTAATATACAAATGAATAGTTCACGCATGAGTTACTTTTTGTTGTCTTATTGATCGCAGATTGTTCCACGATATTCTTCCAGTTTACAACAAGGTTTTAAACTGTTTCATTGACATAGGAAATGATGTGGTTTCAAATGTGTATTATATAGTTACCTATTGTACAATGTTATTGAAATGAGATTGATTTCTGAGAACTTACAAGATAAAGTGAGATGGTTGTGTCTTTTGAATTTATTATTGGTCATAATATTGACATATGTTCAGTTTCCGCATTGACTAATCATTTTGAAAAGTTTATATGACCTTTTCTCAGTAGTAACTCTAAAATCCTGGATGCACAATAATATTAATTTCATTATACATGCTTTGAGATGCCCATTCTTCCTGTGGCACATCCAGAACCCTTTTTTTACTCTTTTTGCCTCTTGTTATGAATGGAAATTATTTTCCTAAAATCATTTAATTGATTTGTTATTTGGTGCACTCAGCTTGCAATATGCATTGATAGACAACGTCAACAAGGTCCAAAGCTTTCTGACACGAGTAGACATGACTCCACTCCTGATGATTCCAAGGTAATTTACTTGGAATTTTTTCTTTGTGGTCCTTTGAATACATCGTGCTTGACCTCCTAACTTGATTTATTGGTTTGACTAGATTCAGAAAGATCTTCAGGATCAAAGGTTCTTCTCTCCTCGCGAAGCCAGTGAAGATTTTGATGGTGACTGTGAAAGGTGAAGAACAAGTGAGAGATCATTTATTTTCGTAACTACAATCTAATCTTGAGCAGTTGGGAATTTTCTTCAGACGTCTCTGCTCTCCTCAATGAGACTGTTAAATGAATAAATGAAGAAATAAATAAATATTTCTTTCTTGCTAAAAATATAATTCATATTTTATTTAGCAATGTGATAACTATCTTTAGAGTGAAGGTTTTTCAGTTGCTGTACATATAGAAACTTCACTGTTCAAAAAACATGATGAGTACTGCCCTGCAGTAGAAAGACTCATTGGTTGAATTAGCTTTCCACGTTCGCTTATTAGTAGAAAAAAGTTATTTCCTGTCCCAGTCTTTCTAATTAAGGAAATAGATTAAAGGTCGTAACTTCACTATCCCCATGAGAGCATTAGAGGATAAATGTTTCTTATCCAGAGTTCTTGAATTGAAGAGCTAATTAGCTCTTGAGCTGAAGACATATAAAGCTATCGGATGAAGTACTCACATCCGTGAGTTATATCCTTCACTTATTAGCTTCCTTTGTCTTCCCTTATTGAATACTAGAGTTAGTGTCATTACACCCTTTAATGCCTTCCATGATGTAAAAGAGCCCCCTTGGCTAAGGGAAGAACTGGAATTGGAGCTATCTGGAGCCTTGTAGAACACAGTGATTCTGTACTCTCAAGTCATTGAAAGTGAAGGTCCTGATCCTAGAATATTTTTGTACTATGCATGTAAAGGAGATCCTAGTAGATAATGTATAGAAGAGATATAAATATTAGATCACTATTTTCGGGAAAAAATATTCATTTATTTTGAAGTACTTTATATTTGATATTTCATCCTTTCCTTAGTTATTAGTTTTAAATTAGGTAAATTTCCATTTTATAGTCTAGTAACATTAAAGGATTTTAAGCATAAATAGATAGGACTCTGCTTCATCATTATGTTAATTAATTACATTATTTAAAGACAATGTGGTCTCCTTTTCTAGGCAAACATAAATAATCTATTTGATGAGGTGCTTGTTCCGTTTAGTCCCCTTAAAGATTTCTAGGATCCCAACTTATGTTTCCCCAAAAAAAAAAAAAAAAAAAAAAAAAAAAAAAAAACCCCAGTGTTATCACCCTCATTTTAGGTGTTGACTGGTTTGAGATCCTTTGTTATTTGTCGCTCTCTCTTCTTATCTTCTTTTATGTTAGTTCTGCTTTTGGTTCTCTGCTTCTTTTATAAACCATAACCAAGCAACACTAGTTGGATCGTTCACTGTTCTTTTTAACTACATTTAACTTAGGCTTCCTACCATCACTCGCCTAATACTATTGAGTGTTGGATTGTTAAAGGATAATAAGTTGAACTTAGCGAAAATGAGGATATTAAGATGGATATGTGGTATGCTAGAATGGAAATAAAAGAAATGGCACTATAGGCAAAATTTGGAGGTGGCACCCGCTGATTGAGGATAAAATAAGGTAATATAACAGATGTGGTTAGGGCATGTTTTGCGTGGAACTAAAGAGGCTTACATACATCAAAGTGATACAGTATCGTTTGAACAACTTGTATGTACACTGTCGGACAGACTCTTACATTACATTTACCCAAAATGAGACCTGACAGTAAAAAAGCTTAAGATAGAATAAATTGCCTTGGTGTCTATCATCATTTTTATAATTAGACTCTTAGATTCTTTCCACTAATGGAATAAAGAATAATAACAATTTTCATTAGTAGTAGTCACAACTCACAAGTAGCAGCATTGTTGAAGAAGCTGTGGGATTATAAGGATAGACTGTGAGAACTTGGTGATAAGTGCAAAGGATGACAGATGTGACATATTCCTCTCGTTTTCCTTTACATGGGGCTGTTTTTCTGCGCTTGTAGTTTTCCAGGCTAAAACAATGCTCTTCGTATCATACATATTTTGTACTCTTTATATAGGGATATGCTACGGTGAAATTGGAAAAATTTGAGTAGAGCATCTTTTTATTACAATCTGAAGTTAAATTCTTGTCCATGATATAGTTTGGTTGCTGGTTGCTGCACATTAATTCATATCAGTAGCAACCTTAGTCAAGTTGCTTGTAACTTGTAAGTCACCTGACATGGTCATTGTAAATTGTTTAAGGATAACAATGCTACTTGAGGCCTTGTACTTCTGGTACAGTGTATTCATGGGTTTTTCCTCACTTTAGGCTGTGCTGTCCTCAAAAATATGTATTTCAAGAACGGAACAATTATGTCAACTTTCCCCCCTCTTGCCAGCATTGACGCGACATGGTCCTTTTCTGTAACAAAGTTGGAAAATATTCTGATGAGTCTATGATTTTCTTTCACACTCACATCTCTTAGAAACATTCTTTCTTTTCTACTTTTGTTCTTGATTTATTTATTATATTTATGTTAGCAGCCAGTCAACTTCAAATGGTTTGCTCAGTCCGATGGCTGAAGAAGCCAGTTATAATTCGAAAAATCATGAAATTGCAACATATGCTATTAGCAAGTCTTCTGAACATGAAAGGAGGGGATCAGCTGGTGCTTTGCCGAATATGATGCTTTTACACTCACGTGAAATTATGCATGCTCCAATCACCCAGGTTAGTTATCTTGAGCATCTAGTTTTGCCCATACTGCCTCCCTTCTCCCTCCACCCCCCCTCCCTCCCTCAAATATGCTGTAAAGAACACAATTCTCCTCTAAATTTATTGTAGGACCCACCACTTATGACAGAGGACATGCATGAAGAACGACTACGAGCTGCTGAAGCCTGTGCTGATTCATTTGTAAGCTTTAAACCTTCCGATATACCATCTTTTTGATTGATAAATAATCATTTGATCTAAGTTTATAATAGTTTGAGAAGCCATTAGGTGTTGTGGTAATGCAAAAATGCTATCCGAACAGAATAAAAAGTCCTTTCACCATTGGTCTGTCATAATCAAATTTCATTAGCTAATTCAATATTCAGATGCATGATTAAAATTGGAACTTTCAGACCTTGTATTTTAATTATTTGATGATGGGAGCCTAGGAATTCTTAAATATATTTTGCATTGAAAACTTGAGTTTCTGGTTGCAAGACTCATTATATGTCCACTGAGAAAGATTATTTGCATATTCATACAGAACTTCTCTGCTCAACTGGAGAAAGAGATCTTGCTATCAGGTAATGAGTTTTGCTTTCCTCATGGTATTGAGGATTTTATTTCCTAATGTTAATAGCTTTTTATTTTGTCATTAGGTTTCCCCACATTCTATGCATTCATTGACTTGGCACCTCATACTATGCATTTATTGATTCTTTTCTCGTCAAGCACAAGTACTTATAAAAAAAGTATTTTTGTGAATGATTCGGAGAACGAAAGATTATTTTAGAAGATATTTAAAAATGCTCAATTTGGTACCGAGGCCTTTTATCTGTGTGATCTGAGTCATATTCAAAAGAATAAACAAATACAAAATTATGCTCACAGTAGACTATAAAAACCATCTTGAAGATCCATAAAAAGTCAAATTGACAAAATTAATAGTCTAACATGCAAAGGAACATAAAGTAGCAAAAGATATCACATAATAAAATTGTAATCTATTGCTAGAAGTAAAACTAGTCTAGAAGTCTCCCATATCATCTAGGATCTTTATAAGTTTGATTCCCTGATATTTCTTCTCTTCACTTCAGGTTTTTCTCATTCTTTGTCATCTTCCTCCACTTGCAATGGACATGTCCCTTGCCGAAGGGTAATGTAGATAAAGGGGGG